ATATTTCTCCACTTCTTTCGATTTAAGCATTTGAGTGATTGCTTTCAGTTGCATGTTGTTATTATAGTGTGACATTTTATCAAAGACGACGATGAGATCCGTTGTGTATCGTAACCAGTTCGCACATACCGTTGCGTGTACTTTTAGAGAAACGATGTGCATTAGGCACTGCGGGACATTAAAGTTGCTGTTACCATGAAGCATAGACCAACCGGGAAAGTGCCATCTCAGCCTCATCCAACATGCTTTGTGCTTTAGCAATCGTGGAGGCACTGAATCTCATGGAGTGAACGCTTTTTCACCTTCTTAGTGTTTATGCAGCAATCGGAGTTTAAGGCTGGATCTGTCACAGGTCTAGGAGTATAGGATAATCGTATCCTCAGCGACCTTGTTCACTAAGCGTTGGCGACCACTCTTCGTAAGCATGCTTCTCGTTAATTGTTGCGTTTATTATTTGCTACATTAAGCGACACCCGTTAGTGCTGGTCGAGAATGTAGCGACGTACAGTGTTTTCTTCTCCCTGTAGCATTGGGTACTGTGCGCGTTTACTTGACGGCTTCTCCATCTTGCAACACGCACTTGTCGTTATTTTTGTTCAGCAGTGCTCTATTATTCAATTGTATACTGCATGTGGATTTTCATGCAGTTCGATTTCAATCGCCATGTCAGTGCATCACATGGCACATTGGAATCGCTGCAGTTAACTGGGTGCAAACGCTAGTAGGTCATCGTTCGGTTTCCTACCGGGGACTGATGGATACCTACCAGGCAGCGTTTCCGAGGACGGAACGGCAGTTTGGTCGTTTTCCGGATATGGTGGTTGGGTCATCTAGCTTGTGACTAATCGCGCATAAATAAAACATCTCCAACAATCTCTGAAGATGGACAATAATAGTGTAATTCACTATTTAAAATCCCTACTCGTACGTCAGGTTCGCTGTGCCTATCGATAAACATGGGCTTGCAGTATTCGTCTGGTCGGGGCTTCTCATCAGCATACATTGCTTGATTCATCTGGGAGTTCCCACCTTGATTTTCTCAGTGGCTTCAAAGCTACTAAGTCTTTGAAATGATAGTAACATTGGCCACTGCAGATGCTTTACGCGCGCTTCCATTCCAATATCACGACATCGTAATGTGGAATGTCCAGGGTTAGCCACAGATTCAGACCTCATTTAGCTCCCAAACATCTGGAACACGTGTTAGCCGGTGAGGCGATTTCTTGTTATCGGAGGGTAGTATTTTTGAGAAAAGTCTTCACAGAAGATCCTAGGACACTAAACTCCTACTATCAGCAGTTTACAACGCCTTACGGTCGCGTTACTTAGGTTTTCTGCCGGGACGGGACCTTAACGATCGTTCCCCTGGGAGGTTTGCGTACCTTTTAGACCATTGAGCTATTTGGGTGGTGCTACGGAGATTCTTGATTTTTATACGCTACCAGGTCGGTCTAATGGTCGAGGTCAGACAAATCAGTACCTGGTGTCGTCCAGCGTTTGGGGTTCACAAATGGGATGGGCGTCATTCCTCTAAAACTTAAATCATTGCACTCCTCGTGTCTTGCGGAACAAGCTTTTGAGAAAAACCGGCTTTGGTGCGGCCTAATCGGCTTCAGACTAGGTCTGGGACGCCTGGCCGTATCCAGCACATACAACCATGATTTTTTTTTTCCGTACAAAACCTTTCTCAGATCGGCCTCTGTGGCACGCACCAATTTACTTCTACGTTTCTGTAACGTTTCTCTTGGGGGGGGGGGGGTAATTCCTGAGTTTGACTTATGGGCCGTGTTACACATCACTCATTTCAATTCTGTACAGCTGCTTGCTGAAATTGGTTCTCTAGCTCTGTTGCTGCTACGTGCTCCTCTCTCTCGACCACCTGCAGCTTGTGATTCGGAGAGTCGAAGGTTCCAATTCGATGGCTTCTATTCAAATGAGCATAGATGAAAGTTTATACGGATGGCACTGCCAGTTCCTTACAGATACCACTGTTGACACGGATACTGAAGCTATGGGAGTGACGATGCCTGTCCGAATAATGGTTAAAACCACTGCATCCTCTGCACCTGCTTTCTCCGCCGCGCAGCTGGCTAAGTTCAGAGCTGCTCGAATGAGGAGCTTGTTCTGATGAGGTACATCATGAATTACCATTGAATTGATTATTCTCACTCTCCGGATGTCGTATCCACCTAACCACCTCGTGCTACCGTTGGACTCTTACCGTCATCGTGTGCTTGGTGGCTATATCGACGCCTTTATCGCATGAGAAGCCGTTTTTCCAAGAGACATTACATTAGAATTAATAAACCTCACTCTTTTGGAATGCAATGTTCTGTCTGTTCTGTGGACTTTGAATGTATGTTTGTCTAATTGGTGCGACACTCCTCAGTCACTGGGGGTCTACATGTATGGACGTTTGTAATAGGCTTACTTCCTGCAACGTCTGGTGAACTGGATCGTACTAATGAGTAGAGGGTTTTATTTTAATGTTTTCGTCCGGAAGTCACAGCTACATAACACAGTCTAGCCCGGAAAAAGCACCATACGCGTTTCGCCATTTTGGCATCGTCATTGTGCCATTCACTCAGTCCCCTACTGGGGATCGAACCCACCACAGCTAGAGGCAGATGCTGACTAGCAACATATTAAGTCACTAAGCATTGGGACTTTGGCTAAGCTACACAATTTGCAAGCTAACTGGAATATAGCACGACCTATCTTCACTGCCTACGCAGATGACTAGCTAGCCTCGAAGGTCATGACTTGCAAATTATGTAGCCCAGCCGAGTCCCCCATGACTGTGTGGCTTAAGCTATTGCTGTTTGGCATCCGCCTCTAACGGTCATGGTTCGATCCCCAGTAGGGACCGAAGGAATGCGCATCATTGAGGGTCAATTTGGCGAACGGTCTGGTGCTTTTCGCGGCTAGCCTGTGTTATGCAGTTGTGGGCTTCTGGGACGAAAACCTTAAGGCTGGATCTTAACGTGGTGCGAAAATTTGCATGCTTTTACGATCCATTGAAGTATGTGAGTGGTGCTTTTTGGCAGCAGATTGCTCAATAGCTAAGTGCCAGACAACCTCAGGTCTTGTAGCCTTCAGCTGGAAGTTAGAGTGAAGGTGCATCCTTATTCCTCAACACGGACACTTGTCGAACTCGCACTACCTTGCGGTCACCTTTTGAACAAAGGGTTCGGTTTAGAATGCCATCGTTTTTCCGTTTAGATTGCAACCTACATCACCTGTCCACGCAGCACAACGATAACAGTCCTGTCGTATTTGAATATACTTGGAATCGATTGAGAAGTCATGCTTTCAGAAAGGTTGGGAATACTGTTTACTATACTTAATTGCCATTGTTTCTCTTTTGACACAAAGGCTTTGTTGGGCCAGTGTCCCGGCACATATTGTTAGCCTTTTATAGCGAACGAGAGAGATAATCCTGATAGCGGAGTCATGGGTCAATGGATCAGTAATGACACAAATGTAATGTGATTTCAGAAGACCCATTCGATGAGATTATATCAGAGGTTTCATCGTCCTAGTCTGACACTTACTGTCCTTCGTGACGACGATAATAATGTCGATCTTCGTTATCCAGCTGCATTACGTACCTGCGCTCACAGACTGGTTAGACTATTACTCACAGCGCAGTTGAAAGCTCCACTCCACCATCCTATACAGCTGTGGTTTTGCTATAATCCACCACCTCTGTGATTGATCTGGACACTGATCGCAAATCTCTCCAGCGCATGCTAAAAACCATTAGCAGTACTCCCGCAATTCGTACGGATGCTTCGCTGCCACACGGCCACGTTGGCGGCGCTTGAGTGATGCTTACCTCAGGTCACCCGCATCCACGCGGATTCGACCGCCGATCCAGGGGTTACAATACAAGCATGCAATCCTGTCGGCTACTGGCGACTGCTCGCTGCAGCCAATCTGCATGAACTGGCACTCCTCGGCGGTCGCCGAATGCGTTTTTTGTGCTCGAAGATCTGTGTTCATGGCTCTCTCGCTTACTAAAGTGTACGTATATCCACTCCTTAAAGCTGATTTTGTACGCACAATTAGTTTTGGGAGGGAGTCCTCTATCTCGTCAGTATTGATCTGGCCTGACGAAGCGTTTGTGTCAAGCGAAAATTGTCACTGTCACCCGATTGTTCTCAAAACGCTCTGAAACAGTAGCCATGTATCTCTCACCACGGATGATGATGACCTCTCAGATCACGAACTAGATGGGTTGCTTCTGTGCCGAGGCCACTAGTTGTCGCCTATTTGCATACCTGAATGACACACTGTGATATGGGATTTTGACTTCTGTGTCATTACGTCATGTCTGTCGTATGCTAACTTGGTTTCCTCCATTTCCTAACGCTTCGTTTAAGGTTGAAACTCCACCATTTTTACCAGCTCGCGAACGGTTTTCAAAATATCGAAGTCTGCCTAAATTCCATGGAAGTGTCTGGCCTGTGGAAAAAGACACACTTCCTCTACATTACGAAAACCTCGCATGGTACGTCTTCGGCCACTTCAATCCAGTACAATTTCCACATGTTCGCTATCATGTTTGCTATCATCCTTTAACTAACTGTTTCTCCATGCGTCTTATTCACTTATTTTGGCCCAGCTTCCCCAGGTCCATGGTGTTCCATTTAGGGTTGATCTAACTACCATATTATCATGTGTCGTTGCGCATATATTCTTCGATTTGTCTGGCACCTCACTGAAGCGTCCATTAAAACATGAACCGCCTAAGTTGGCAACGTCACGTCCCCTATACGTCTGTTGACCACCATCCTTGGCTTGCATTATATGGTGTGACGTTCCGTTTTCTTGAATTGGCTCTTCGAGGTGAGCTACATCAATGGCTGGAGACTCTGCCGAACTTGACACCGTCGAGGGCATTCGGTTTTTGGCATTCACGTCTTACTATTTCACCACGATTATTATTTTGTGCACTTCTTCTTGCCCCTGATTGCGTTCTACCCCACTTTCCTCACCTTTGTTATTATTCATCTAGTAACGGCAGTCGCGGAAACAGGACCCACTACATTCGGGTACCCTGGTTGTGGTTATTTGACGGAACTGAACTCTCTTTTCAAAGTTGAATTTAGGGAACACACTGTATGCTTGGGTTGCGACTCGCAACTTCTATGGAGACATCGGTTCACTTTGAGGTGAACCTCGATCATTCCGATTGCGAGAACCGTAACCGGAAATGAAATATTTAGGTGTTGCTCCTCCCACACCACGACCGCGGTTTCATCCTGCTTTGAACTCATCAGGTTGGAGATAGCCTGGGCTGTTCAATGACTGCATGGACTTACTTCTGGTGCTGATTTGTTCGGTCTTCCTCACTTTCTGCAGGTTATATCCTCTCGGATTTAGCCGGCCAGTAGCCTAAAGGTAACGAGCTTGTCTTGTAATCTGACGTCACAGGTTTGAGGCTGCATAGGGGCAGGGTGACGCTCGCAGTATCTTTAGCGCATTGCGACCGCTGATGGTTGTTTTGCAGCAAAGCGTCGGTACTGTGTACCGGTGTACTGCTGATACCTTAGGTCCTTTTGGAAAGACAGCTGTCATCATCGATGCCCACTGCTTCCTCTTCCGCATAGTTAATCTGTCATTCCGTCTTCCTTCAGGCCGTCACTTGATTTAGCCTCATAAACATTTGATTTTCGCTCTCTTGCAATTATCAGCAAGTGTTCCTCCGTCGTCACCTTCATGGTCATATGGTATCGAATTCTCTCGTATGTTGTACTAAACCTCCGTTCAACCCTGCGCGCATCTATCATCAATACCACTTGCGTATATGACTCCATCCTTCTCATGTTGATCAGCTTTCGGAATTACACCGCAATCGACGTTCCATTGCCCGTTATCTGCAAAAGCGTATTGCGACCGTCGAAAAAGATCAGTCCTCCATCTTGAAATACGTCCCAGTTGGCGTATTTGTTCAATTGTGCATCAGCCCAATGAACAAAGAAACAATTGAGGCCATCCTGGATCGACATTCCTCTGAGACAATCGATTCATCAAAAGAATCTCTGGACCCTCACCCTCTTGTTGTCTGGTCTTTGTTACCCCATGAGACACGTATTTTCGTGTGTCATTAACAATGCGCCGAGTCAATCGCGCTATGGAAGCTCTCTCCGATGTGGTCGCCTTAGCGAATGCGGCAAATAAAGCAAGCGAAAATGCCACCTTGGCATCTGCGGAGAACGCTGCGCTGGAAATTGGCGAGGAGGCTTCCTCACGTGTGGAAATGGAGAGCGAGACTGTGCAGGATTCATTTACGCAGTATAAAAATGCGAGTCTGCGGAAGTCTAGGCTTGCTTCAGATGACCAAACTCTGCCTCCGGAAGCTGAACCGATCAAGTCAAAAGAGCTAATGCTATTACAGGTGAGTTTGATTACTCTTTTGAGGAGGCTACCAACCTCATGTTGGAGAACCTATGAAGATTGTCATTATAAGTTTAGCGCTATTTCAGTGTGATCAACTCCCATGTGAAATCTGAGGTGCCTGCCTAAAATGTCAGACTCTGTCACGAAATCATTACTTCAGAGGTGAAAATGCATAAGTGAAACTTACAACACGTTCGATCTCCAGATCATCGCTTTCGTATGTTACTACATCTGTAAGGTTCTCCCTTTGCCCCACTAGACAAGCTCATGCGATTGTCAGCCAGCCAGCGGAGCCCCGTAAGCGGACAATTATGTCCGATCTGTACTATAACCGAACCCTCAAGTCTTCTTCCAATGGACTGTCTGGCTCGTCCCTCGAGTCCATCATAACCATCCTGTCTTCCATCTTATGTCTACAACTGGGGCTTTCATTTCAGTATGTTTACTACAACTGCTGTGTCCAGGGAGGTTGTCCATCCTGACGAGACAAACGCCAGCAGTCGCCCATGAGTCCCTCACAGTTTTGTTACGAGACGAATATCGTATGTAAGCAACTACCAAGCTGTTTTGAAATTCCGACTTTCAGCACTTCGTGATAACTTTGCGTCCCACACGAACTATTCCGGTAAATGCAGTCGGCAATGTGAATCAGATCTGGGGCATCGTAATTCTCGACATGCACTTTTCTACTAGACCAGCTATCTCTATTAGCGATGACTGAGACAGTGATTTGAGATTAATTGTTCGGATTCACTGTGTTTCGTTTACAGTCGCCACTCTATTCGGTGTGCGTTTCGTGCCGAAATCAGAATTAAGTACCTGCACAGATTCACGCGCAGCACTACACGCTTCGGCATATACTTCGCACCTTCAAAGTGCTGTTGCAGGACTGGGCCGACACACTTCCGGTTTTCGCTTTTTCCGAATAGCCACTGAAGAAGTGGTCGCTGGGTTCACTTACCTTAGTAGCTATTACCTCCGGTGATCACATCGCTGAAGAACTTACTTTGCGTATTACCAACACACGAGTGGCTTTCCAGAGACTCAACCATCTAAGGAGACAGCGGGATATCAATTTGTCAGTGAGAGATAGGGTGTAAGGCCGGTCATACTGTATAGATCAGAAACTTGCCAAGTTCGCGGTGAAGACATTAAACGCTTGGCCGTGTTTGGTCATCGGTGCTTGGGAACTACTGCTCACGTTTGAAGGGAACACCGGGTGAGTAATTATGTGGTCCGCCCGTTGGTTTTTGGCAAGAAGCTTTCTGGTTTCTCATTCTGGTTTTTACCGAATCTTATTCGCTTATGTTTGTTAGACCATGTCCTTTGTGTGCCCGTTTACCGGATTCCTCGGCGTGCATTATATGCCATGGTTGCACCAAGTTAAGCGAAACCACGAGTTGGCCAGGCCATGGCTTGGCATAGAGGCATGAAGAAATTGGCTGAGTGTTTTATATATATATATATATATATATATATATATATATATATATATATATATATATATATATATATATATATATATATATATATTTGCAACAGTCTATGAATAAACATTGAGCCATCGGAAACCATGGAACTCAAAACAAGGTACAGAAATAGTAAAACACAACACAACACATCAAAGTCCATGGTTTCGTCAGAGGGCGAGATGCTACCCGGTTGCCCAAGCCGAAGTAGGGTGTTGACTTAGGGGACACCACCCCGAGCCTTTGGCTGAATAGCCTGCCCGCAAGGCAGCGGAGCGAATTCAGGGAATCGCGCCCATTGGGAGCCGGTTACTGATTGCTCAGTTCATACGCCTTTCGTTTGTTCCTTTGCCAAACAGGGGCCCAATGCTCCCCAGAATTACAGCACAAAGTTGCTGGAATACAATGCATCGCCAGGATGAAGCAAGGGGCAGTGACTTGATCAGGTTGACGCGTGCGTCTTCGTGGATGGGGTGCCTCACGATGGTCCACACCAATGGTTGGAGACATTATCAGACATTGGGCAGTCCCTCAACCGGTAGTGTTTCTGCATTCATTTTCTTGCATCTGGTTGTTAATTTTCGTTTCATTCTGATTAGTTTAACGGATTTCCTGCTTGCTCCCGGTTTCTTTACATTCCGTTTCTGTTTAACCGGACTATCTTGCTGCTGGTATTTACTGTTATTCTTGCTATCTGAGTCGTAGCAACTGGATCCACCACATTTCGGTGCTCAGATCATTGTTCATCAACTTAACCGAACTTGGCTCACCTTCACTGTATTCGACATGGCGATATTCTGGTGTTGCTCTTTAATATTTCTTCTCGCGAGCGATTTGACATATGTGACCGCAAGAAATGTAGGGGTTTGTGAGCTTTTTTCGTGAATTTTTGGTTATCGTCTCTATTTGTACCATCCTCTCACGTTATTGATGCAGTACAACGGTAGCACACTGGTTTCTAATCGCTGTCCCCCAGTGGAGCGCTTTTGATCGATTTGATTCGAATTCGATTGCGCTTGACTGCGGTCGCAGTTGCATCATCTGCTTCACCCGAATAGCACACATCAGTTTTCGACCGACATTCGTCACATCCACTGCATGTGCAGAGCAATACTCAACGGCCGTATTTTCATTTCCATAATTGTCACCCATACCCATGGTCTCTAAGTTTGTATGCGATGTTCGGCTGATGGCAAATGTCATCAACCTTACACTTCCCCGAATTAAACTGGAGCAGATTGTGGAGTGGCCACCCATACCTTCTGACCAGGTCTCTCTGAAGTGAATCTTGATCCCTTGGGTTGACGGTCGTCCACCACATCTTAACATCATCGGTGAACAACAGGAAATCTGAAGCAATCGAACGCGTATGCTCGTTTGTGAACACGAGAAACAAACGCGGCCCCTTAACTGATCTTTGTGAAACTCCACATTCGACATGATTCGGATCGGACATCGCACTTCGAACTCAGAACTGCAGTTGCCGATCCCGCGGAAAATTCCTGATCCACCCAAGGACAGGATCTCCAACTCCATAGCGTTCGATCTTGTGAAGCAGAATGCGGTGGTGCAGTTGGTCGAACGCTCTAGAGTAGTCGAGGTGAAGAACGTCTGTCCCTCCATCTTTATCAGCCTCTTCCCTCCAGCTACTGCGTGCAATCGGTAGGTTGGTGGTACATGAGCGGTGTTAGCGGAAACCGGGTTGTTCGGGTGCTGTAATCTTGTGCCGTTATAGATGGTCTATTAAGTGATGATTGCTTCCATCACCTTTAGGAGCACAGCGAGGAGAACCACTGAACAATAATTGGCGGGTTCCGATCGATTATCGCTTTTGAAAATTGGAGTGATTAGGTCATGTTACCACACGGTAGGCACAATTTGCTTATCCAAGCACATTGGGAATAAATGCGGTAATAGTCCTGCCAGCGTTCTTGTTGCTACGTTCAGCGCCTTCGGGTGCACATGATCGATTCCGGGAGAACTGTAGGTGCGTAGTGATAGCAGTTCCTTCAACACATGTGTGACGGTAAAATCGATGTTAGTGAATGTTTAAAGCGGGGCAAAGGATGTAGGTATGTCACAATGACGGATGCCTCGTTGGAAGGTTGGGGAATACTGCATTCGTAGAGCGTTGGCTACCACTTCAGCACTGTGTGCCACTCCGACTGCCGTGTTAAGTGGGAGGATACTGTGCTTCAATTTCCGGATGGTGTTAACCTGCTTATATAGGATATTTTTGTCGGCATATTTACAAGCCAAATGTTGTTGATGAGTCGACCTGTCCTCACAGACAACCATGTTACAATGGTTGCGCTGGGTCACGTAATCGCCCTAAGTTTCGAGACTAGGACGATCTCTGTAAGTGTGCTAAGCTGCATTTCTTATTGACATCCCGTTGCGGGTTCTACTTCTGATAAAGAGGCGAGGGATTGATGAGGCAGTTGCGATTAGATTGTTGAAGCGTCCAACAAACTGAATTCAGGCGTTGTCAACTGAGCCACCTTTCAATAATTCCGAATCAGTCGTCTCAGCCCATCGCAATGAGGCGGGACCTTGCCGTAGTGCCTCATTGAGCTATGCTTCGTGGTTCATTTTTACACCTTCAGAGCCACTCACACCAGATTGCTCAATGGTTAGAGGCCAGACAAACCCAGCCTCCTGGTCCTCCAAGTTGGGGGTTGGAATCAGGGTGGCTCCTTATTCGGAGCCACGGAGTACATGTAGCCCGACGCCAAACCTGCTGCCTTGTGGTCAGGTTTTCGAACCAAATGCTTTGTTTGAGAACCCTAATCGTTCTCCCGTCTAAGCCTGGGCAACCTGACATTATCCTCCCCATTCAATCCTATGAATCTCTTGTCAAACATTTTCCTGATGCTCTGGCCACCGCAGATGATAATCAACGGTGCCCTATCTGCTGCATCGAGCAAGGAGGAATGAGGGTTTGGATGCTACTGCCCAAGCCCTCTCGTCTTCTTATCCCCTCTCTTACGATTTTTCACCCCTATCGTCCCGTTCCAGCTTCACTTACATCCCCCCTGTTTTCAACCCCTCAATTCTTGCCCCCCCCCACCTTGCTTCAGTGGTCTCTTGTCTTAGTTTCAACTCACATGTGAACGCGGAGCGTCATTCCTACCCTGTCAACCGACCCATATCTAAGCAAGCGGTCTAGCGCAGTTCATCGGCTTCCATTTGCAGCCCTTGATCCTCATTCAGATTGGCATGCCTCAATGTACGCACATTGCTACAAATCGGTCAAGAGGCAGCACTTGCTCGAACATTAGAGACCCTCTCGATCGATATTTGCTGTTTATCTGCAACCCGCTTGCAAGCTTCGAGCTCCGTGGTTACCCTGCAACCCCCCACATGCAACACTGGCGGCAGATTTTCATTACGCCTGTCTGGCCTTGATACAGCTTCAAATGCCGGCCAAGCCGGTGTTGGTATTGCCCTGAGTCCCCGGGCTGAAGCTGCCCTGATCGATTGGATTCTAGTAAACAGTAGGATGTGCGGCGTTAGATTAGCTGGTTCG